ACCCTGCAAGGAAAGCCCAGACAGCCTCAAGTACTAGCACAGCCCAGGACCTCATTGACAAATAATATTGATGGGCTAGAGGAAATGGATGGTTGTGCTGTCACATCACCATGTGTGTCTGCTGAGCAGCAGGTTTCTTTCAAGAATATCGCTTGGATTTTGAAAGGCAGAGTTTGGCGGGGGAGTGGAGAAGAACAAGTGTAGCATGAGTTGCAGGCAGGATATATTTGTGGCACTAATATCCCATCCACTGTCACAGTGGTTCATCCATTTCGATACATTGTGCTCACAATGACAACCAGCTCCTTGTTGACCCATATAATTGCAAATCTCTTTTCCTTCATCCCCAAGAAGACCTAATTTGGCCCAGGTGTTGAGATTAGGGGCTATTTCTGTTTCTTCTCCCCAAAGTAGCCAGAGCAGCTAGGCCCCCAAGAAAAGAGACCCCAGCCCATGGAGATACCAAAGGGTTACCTCCTATTGCCAAGCTGGTGACAGCCATGTGGATTAATGCAGGGAAGTGTGAACTCTTTCAAGTCCCATACTGGATACTCTGAATATCCAACCTGCATCCAGAGATGATTTAGTTCACTCTAACCCTAAATACTGCAGAGGGAGAAAATAATTTTCCCTCTACTCTTCTGAGTCCTTAGCTGAGACTTCCACAATGAAAGGCAGATTCACAAGAGAAGAACATTATTAACATGTTGGCCTTATGTATATGTGGGAGATACCCAAGGAAAAATGAGTAACTCAAAGAGGTGTCTTTAGACCTCAGTATTAAATTCCATCTTAATAGGGAGAGGGGAGGGAGGATATGGGCCTCTCAGGGGACAGTAAATGATTTTTATGAAAGATGAAGGGACTGAAGAAGAATAGGCAGGAGGTATAACAATTTCTGACGGTTTGTCTGGGTGGTGTGTTGTGATGAGCCTGTTCTTTTGTGATGAGTCAATCCTTCATGGTTGATGGAACTCCCAGGAAATCCCTTTGGAGAATCTGTCTTTAGGCAGGGAAGTGGAGGTCAGAGAAAGCCACTTCATGCATTTGCTCTCCTTCAAATACCTACAGCTCAAAATAGTCCACACATTGAAGCAGCATCTTTTGGGGTGACATGTCCTGCTATACTCTTCAATAATAATATGTAATGATAATACCTTCCCTGAACAATAGCTAGATTTCACTTACTTTTTTTTTTTTTTAATGAAAGAATTTATTTATTTGTGAGAGCTAGAGAAAGCACAAGTTGGGGGAAGGGACATAGTGAGAGGGAGCAGCAGACTTCCTGCTGAGCAGAGTCCCATACAGGGCTCCACCCCAGGACCTCAAGATGATGAGCTGAACTAAAGTCAGATGCTTAACCCACTGAGACACCCAGGTGCCCCTCACTTATTTTCTTAATCAGTTACAATTGTTAATCCTTTTTGGGTTTGATATTGGTATTGTGTTTATCTTTGCAGTGATAATGTAGGGATTTGCTTCAAAATAAACAGGATTTGGGAGAAGAGGTAGGTGAAATGAGATTGGCCATGAGTAAATAATCATTCTTTTGTCTACTTTGTATATATCCTAAAACTCAGAGTAAACAGTTGGAAATTCTTTCTAATCATTTACAAAAATAAGTGGGAACTTTTAATTACTCAGTTAGCTGTGATGTAAACTAAGTATTAATCTCCAAAATTAGGCCAGCCTGAGTTTTTCTAATGAGATCTATGACCGATCTTTAAGCAGTGTCACTATTCTATGAACACCACCTACCTTCACTGGCCAAATAGAAAATGCATACACTACCCTATGCTCCTTTACCCCAAATTTTTAAAAACGGAAAAATCTCTATAATCAAGCATGATAGGAAAAATTTCATATCCAGCATGGTAGGAAGAGAGCAGCTCTGTGCCGTGCAGCTCCGTAGTACATGCTGCGGGAATGGGAACCTGATGTGGACGCAAGAAAGCCAGAACCTCATTCCGAAACTGAAATGTGATAAACAACCCTTATGAAGATGCCCCTCCCAGAAACCAGGTTCTTTTCCTTGAGTCTTATCCATTTCAGAGATGCAAAATGAAGAAAAGGTATCTTGTGTTCTTTGGCTCTCTTGGAACTGCAATATCTAAGCATCGCCCTTTAAACTCTTCAAACAATAAAATCAACTAAGCTGTGATGGCCCCTCCCATCAGCAATGATGAGCTCATGCTGGCTTCATCAGGCTGACTTTCCTACCTGTCACCCAGTTTTCTGGGAAGAAACGGTAAAGCTTCCTCAATGGAGAGGTTCCTTCTTGACCCACAGTATTTGCTGTATCCTTTTGTCATATCTTTGCCTGGAAGAATTGGAAAGGCAGGCCATTGCCTCATTAAAACTACCCCTGACCAGTTGGGTCCAAGTTTGCCAGAACAGGGTCCACCCTCCAGTAGAAAATTTCTCTGGTCTTTCCCATGCCAATCTTCCCAAGACCAGGAATCCCCAGTGAAGTACATCCCTTCCTGTTGCTATTTATGCTGTCTGGTGTAGCCAGAAAGGGCTCTGGGCTAGAAATCAGAATGCCTGGCCTCTAGTGCTGATTTGAGGAGCACGAAATACTTAAGCTAAATGAATAGAGCCCTTTCCTCCAAGGGATACAGAAAACCCTGGACCCTGCCCTCCAGGGGCTTATGATCCAAGGAGGGAAAAGACAAGCAAACTGTAGGCATTCATAATTTCAAAACAAACCTCCCATTAAAGCATACAGTTGCCATGGCAGCCATATCTTATAGGGTACTGGGAGGGAGCATCTGAAAAGGAGAGTCAGTCCTCACGGCACACTGGGCACTGGGCAGGATTCCCTATAGGATGATGGTCAGCCAGAGCTAAATCTTGGAATATAATCACTGCATGCTGGGGACAGGAAAGATGTCTCAGGCAGCCCAAGCTTATGACTGGGGCAACCTGACAGGAGGTTAAAATCCAAAGAGGGAGGTTCCAAATTGCAGAGGGCCTCCTTAATTCGTCTTCAGCTGCATCCAGTAGGCACTGGAGAACCAGAGGGCTTCGATGGGATGTGGGTGGGGAGATGATGTAACTATCCTATCCTATTTGGGTTTTTCCACGATCACACATGGAAAAGTGATCTTCCATATAGACACAAGGAATGAGATGGAGGAAGTGTCTGTCAGAGCTCAGATGAGGTAGGGAGGTACAGGGGTCCAGGCAGAAGGCCTCGAGGATCCCAGCGAAGCCAGCAAAACTGGGAACAAATAAGCAGGGGCATAACTGGAGAATATTAAGGCGGTGAATTCCACAGGTCTTGGTGTCTGAATGAGTTTGGTGGGAAACAGGCAGTCAACGTACAGGTTACAGAGGTTCTAGGCACTTAGGGTATTGTGTAGGCAGTCCCTCAGTCCTCTTATTTAGCTTCCTTATTTGTGACATTTGGATAATTGGTGTGGTACACACTCGCCTTGTCCACATTTCATGAACACTGGTATGGTATCATGCATGATACAGGTGTACATGCTCTTTTGCGAACAGCAGTGCAAATTAAAGGATTCGGAAAATCCAAAAGAAAGGGGTGGCAAGGGAGAGAGAGGAGGTAGAGAAGAGGTGTTTGGCCAAGCAGTGTATTTTCAGCACAGGTAGAGAGAATGCGTATTTGTGGTGATAGAAATTAAGAACGGGAAATAAGGACGTCAAATGTAAGATCTGTTAAAATGTATCTAGGGGCACCTGGGTTGCTTAGTGGGTTTAGCATCCAACTCTTGATCTCAGCTCAGATCTAGATCTTAGGTACTTGAGCTTAAAAAAAAAAAAAAATCTGTTTAGGCTTACTGCTTATGTTTTCTTGAAAAAGGTACTAATTTTCATGTATAAATTATACTAATTCTAATTCTTATATCTGTGCAAGTTAGTTATCTTTAAAATACTGGGATAAACATTTCTTCTCAACAACAGTAAGGAGTTACTCTATTACATATGTTGATACATATGATAATTATATGATTAGATCATGACATTAACAATAATGATATCATATTTCATGATATAAATGTCAAATAATTCTCTGGCAATAATACATATAAAACATGGGGTTGGATTCCAGGGGAGAAAAACCCAGATAAGATACAGTTAATGGGTTTACTTTCGTGAGGAGCTTACATTCATACTTTTGAATCTTAAAACTCAAAGTAACCAAGAAAGTACCCTTTTATTATTTATTCCCATAGGGTAGCATAAACTGTTCTTTGCTTAAGTATCTTGTTTGGGAGCATTTTTGGTTAAACCATGGCTTTTTAGAGGAAACTGTTTTCTCTAACTTATGGATGTTGCATTTTTTAAAAAGTGACAGGAGAGCCTGGGTGGTGTAGTCCTTTAAGCATCCGGCTCTTGATTTCTGCTCAAGTTAGGATCTGAGGGTTGTCAGGTGGAGCCCTGCATCAGGCTCCATGCTCAGTGTGGAGTCTGCTTCTCTCCTTGACCCATGCCACTCCCTCATTCACATGCTCTCTCTCTCGCTCTCTCTCTCAAATATTTTTAAAAATTTTAGTTTGCAAGTAAATAAAGAACAAAAAGCAACAGTGACTTTCTTGTCTAGTGGTTGAGTCCCATTAATTTTCATTAGAAAGAAGCCCCAAGTCTTAGTAATACAAAGCACTTAAGCAAAGAGAATTTTCTCGTGCACTAATGACATCCAAAGAGCCTGTGTCCATTTTGGTCCCTGGGGGTGATGTGGCAGGAAGTCTGAAGCCGACATCTGGAAATTCCTGTATGGCCCAGCCCCGCGAACATCCTGAGCTGTCCTCACACACAGGCAATTCTGAGCCGTGAGATCAGAGGACAGAAGCCTGAGGACATAGCACTGCCGAGTTTGAGTGGGGGAAACAAAGGAGAGACAGGTTTCCGGAGTGCTTTCTGGAGCTTTGTGGCAACTTTTAACTCTTCTGCAACGTGCATGTACGTGGGTCTTTCAGCTCTCAGGCTTTTGATGTTTTTTGGGTTTTGTTTTATTTTTTTTTTAACCTGCATAGAACAGAAAGAGTTCCAGGAAATGAAGGGTATAAGAGGGAAGAAAGCCCTTGCATCATCAGAGATGACAGCCAGGGTGGCACGAGGCAGCCCCTTTCTCCTGTCTCCCGTGCTTCCCTTGCAAATGCCTCCTCCAGCAGCTGAGGGCCAAAGCAGCACAGCCTGTTTCCACGGACACAGTGGGGGCTCCTCAAAACAAGAACAAACATTGCTCTTCAAGTTGGCTTCCAGTGGCCCTGGATTGGGGTGGGTTTTTTTTTTTTTTATGGTACTGTGCTATTAATAGGTGAAATATTCCCTTCTGGTTAAGTACATGTATTTATGACATGATACATCCCCTCTGTCTCCAGAATAAAAGTTACTCTCATGCATGGTAACAAGAGAAATGAAACTTAATTTGGGAGGTATTTGTATTTTTTTTTAAGATTTTATTTATTTAATTGACAGAGAGGTACGCAGAGGGGGAGGAGGAAGCAGGCTCCCTGCTGAGCAGAGAGCCTAATGTGGGGCTCGATCCCAGGACCCTGGGATGATGACCTGAGCCGAAGGCAGAGGCTTAACCCACTGAGCCACCCAAGCACCCCCAGGAGGTATTTATATTAACATAAATTCATGTTCTGCCCATGTTGCTTATCAGGGATGTCCTGCTTAGCCTGGGGGGAGGGAGTAGAGGTATACTTTTTCCTTTCCCTCTTACCCCCTGGTCCTCTATCTTCTCTTTATTGGAAGAGTACCTATAAATCCAGACTCCCTCACATTCATCTCATCCAGTACCCATCTATCAGAGGTTAGAATGTCATTATCTCAGGAGTATCATTTTTTAAAATATTTTTTTATCTATATATTTTAGAGAGCATGTGTGTGTGAGTGGGGGTCAGAGGGAGAGGGAGAGAGAATCTCAAGCAGGCTCCTCACTGAGCATAGAGCCGGTCTCATGGGGCTCCATCTCACGACCCTGAGATAATGACCTGAGTCAAAAGAGTCAGCTGTTCAACTAACTGAGCTACCCAGGTACCCTTCACAGGTATCCTTTTAAGAAAGTTGTGCCTCGGGGCACCTGGGTGGCTCAGTGGGTTAACTCTGCCTTTGGCTCAAATCATGATCTCAGGGTCCTGGGATCAAGCGCCGCATCGGGCTCTCTGCTCAGGGGGGAGCCTGCTTCCCTCTCTCTCTCTGCCTGCCTCTCTGCCTACTTGTGATCTCTCTCTGTCAAATAAAAAAAATCTCAAAAAAAAAAAAAAAGTTGTGCCTCATTTTAGGGTAGGGCTCTGTTACTTTCTCAGAATTTTGAGGCTCCTCTGCTTACCAACACCTTTCTCCTCAGCCACTTGATTTTTTTCTGATTGCACTCGCCTCTCATGCCCTTCCGCTAAAGACACCTTCTCCTTGGCACTCCCAGGATCCATGTTAATTGTTCCTTTCTCTTTCCTTGCACACTCTAACGTTTTACGACTTCTGCCTGAAGCCTTTATCCTCCAAGTTTTGTACTATGCTTGGTCCTCTTTTCCTTCAAAATGTGTTTCCAAATTGTTATTTTTTTTTAATATTTTATTTATTTATTTGACAGAGATCACAAGTAAGCAGAGAGGCAGGCAGAGAGAGAGGAGGAAGCAGGCTCCCCACCGAGCAGAGAGCCCGATGCGGGGCTCGATCCCAGGACCCCGGGACCACGACCTGAGCCGAAGGCAGAGGCTTTAACCCACTGAGCCACCCAGGCGCCCCTCCAAATTGTTATTCTTTGATGGAACGGCACACAGGCATTAATATCTTTAATCCGGGTTTTAATGAGGTTGATAGAACAGCGGGTTTGGGTTTTTTAATGTGTGCCAATCAATTGCCTTTATTTCAGATGTAAATCTGTTGAGAACAGAGACTGTCCTTAAATATTTGTTCTTCCCTTCTTCCTTGCCATGTTCAGGATGTGGTAGGTTCAAAGACAAGGCATGTGGCTATTTATCTTGGATATCAGATCTCTTCTGATATAGAGGTGTTTAGAAATTGTGGCCCTCCCCCAAGCTTATTGAAAGAACTTCTTAATTTTCCTTAAATTCTAGCATTCCTGCTCTGGGCAGTAAGCACATTTATGAATTTGAGCAGTTAGAAGTCCAACTTATATAAAACAGCTTTGCTTTTATCATTCAGAATTGCCTGTAATGGCAAATGGCTATTTTATCTTAGGGCATATTCTTTTTCTGTATCGTGCTCTGTAAATACATTCCCAGTGATCCAGTAGCTCTCCATATTCTAGGTTTTAATTTAGTTATTTCTCAAGTACGTGAGGTACTTTCTGATCTTATTTAATACTTATGATACTTTGAGTACTTTCCATAATAGCTATAGATTTGTTAATACTGTACTTTCTCAAAGTAATTTTTTTCCTGGATTTCATGCCCTTTTCTTTTCAAGATTTTATTTATTTATTTGACAGAGAGAGATCACAAGTAGGCAGAGAGGCAGAAGCAGGATCCCCGCTGAGCAGAGAGCCCGATGTGGGGCTCGATCCCAGGACCCTGAGATCATGACCCGAGCAGAGTCTTAACCCACTGAGCCACCCAGGCACCCCATCATGACCTTTTCTTTTGTATTCCTACCTTTCTGCTTTTCTAAGTGTTTCATTCTGCTTTTAAAATTTATTTCTTCCCCAAACACATCCTTCAGGCCAAAGCTTTAATAAATGTCCTTGAATATATCTTAGATACATGAAAATGGCTTATTCTGACATCTAGCAATTGATCATGGAGAACAACTTCAAAAAAGGAGTGGAGATAGAAATATAAAAACTCTTTAAAGCCCTTGCCCATGAGAAAATTATATTCTTGTTTAAAGGAGCCATATTAAACATATTTTTAAAAATTTTGTTAGCACTGAGCAAGGCAACATACAAAATACTATTTACATGCCGAGGTTGTAAGTAACAAAAGGGAACTTGCTGTCAGCATCATCAATTTGCCTTTCCTGGAAATTGGAAAAGTCAATTGCTGTCTCGTTGATGTATTTTCTTGTCATTTTATTTTGTTATTTTCCATTTGTGCTTGGCCTCAAAGTACCACTACTGAGAAGTTACTTAGTTTGATTATAATTCTGCTTGCAATCCTCATTTCTTCCAACAATGAAGACCGTCTGAGTTGTCACAGGGATTCAAATTCTCGCTTACCTAACTAATGATTAGTGTGAGGAATAAGGCTGTACACAGTGCTGATTCAGTGTAAGGGAAAGTGGAAAGACGACCTTTTCCTCCCTTCTGGCCCCTTCAACACGGGCCCCCTTCCAATAGAAGTTGTAAGGCACACCTGGTAAAGAGTTTACAACGTAGGCTGAAAGCAAAGGTAAGCCAAAGCCCTTTTTAAAATGCTGATTCTGGGGACACCTGGCTGGCTCAGTAGAGCATGTGACTGTGGGTCTTGGGGTCTTGAGTTGAAGCCCACATTGGGTATAGAGATTACTTTTAAAAAATGCTGATTTTTGTCCTGTACTGCAAATATACTCAAAGTTGTCTGGTCAGTAAGTATTAATTGCACAATTTCTTATACCCAGATACCGTAGCTAAAGAGATGGGGGCCAGTGTGACAAAGGTCGATAATTAGACATGCCCCAGGCATGGAACAGTGTGTAGTTGTGGGGAGTTGGGAAGCAGCAGGGAGGATAGTGTGTAGTTGTGGGGAGTGGGGAAGTGACAGAGGATAGTGTATAGTTGTGGGGAGTGGGGAAGGGGCAGAGAGGATAGTGAGGAGTGGGGAAGGGGCAGAGAGGATAGTGTGTAGTTGTGGGGAGTGGGGAAGGGGCAGAGAGGATAGTGTGTAGTTGTGGGGAGTTGGGAAGGGGCAGAGAGGATAGCCCAGCTGGAGCCAAGGCACAGAGGGAGGATGGAACATGATGTAAGTGAGGTCATGGGGAGAAGACCAGCATGGCTGGAATGCAGAACTTGTGTTGAAAAGTAGGGGAACACGGCATAACTCTGGCAGGTCTTGGCTTATATCCAGACGCCGCAATCCAGATGCTCGATAGAAAGCCATTTTGGGTTCTGGAGCGGTGGCTTGATGCAGGGGAGGCGGTGTCTCTGGAGGATGAATTGGGCATTGATGGCTCAGGCGACTTGTGGAGGGGGACCCCGGAGATCACTGCTGTGTGTTCAGGGATTGAAGGCAAAGGTCTGCAGCTGCAGCTCTTCTGCCCTGGTGACTTCATCTTGAAGCAGGGACAAAAGCCCTTTCGGGTTTTTTTTGTTTGTTTGTTTTTTTCTTTTCTTGTAAACATAAGCTAGTTTGAATTGGGTTTCTCTTCCTTTGGAACCAGAATCCCGGAGATCAAATGCTTTTTGGAATTGAGTTGCCTTAGGCTTTGAAAGCAAAACAGTGTTGTAGGCAGACAGAATTAGGAGAAGGTGGAAAGGTGGGAGTGACTCACGCGATGGGTTCTGGGACAGATATTTGTCCACTGAAATACGAGCAGAGGGGAGCTCTGTGGGACCAGTTTAAAGAGGTGTGTTGGGCCCAGTTGCTGGCCCGTGGTGAGCCACTCCGCTATGCCTAGGATACTGCAGCTGAAGCTGTCGCTCTAGCCTATGGCCATGTGCTTGGGACTTAGCAGAAAGAAGTTTCCAACTGGCAGAATCTCTCCTCTGCAGTCAGATACTCTTTTTGCTGTTGTTCTTTGGGTTGTTTTGGTTTCTTAGATACGGCTTTCTCACGATATGTTAGACGTCTATTGCTAACAATAGACATCTGTTATTTCTGAAACTAAGTTTGCAAAATCCCTCCCACCCAACATTTCCTCTTGCTTGTTCTAGTTGTTGGTGGCAATCCTATCTTCTCCATCCTCCAGATAACCTTGGGGTTATCTTGGATATTGCTCTCCATTGCTTGCTCTCTTCTCTCTTCTGATGTTATCTCTGGATTCATTTTCCTGTGCGGTCTACTGCTTCTTGCCTTCACTCTCAGCCCCCTACCCCCACCCTGTGCTTAGCCACTGATATAGTATAATCCCTCCAGAGTCCGTAGCTCTTCAGACCCTCACGATGGCTGTGTGGGAAAAGATGGGCGCTTCACACCCTGCCACTTCATTCCTTCTGCTTAAAAATGTTTCATTTAGGGGCGCCTGGGTGGCTCAGTGGGTTAAAGCCTCTGCCTTCGGCTCAGGTCCTGATCCCAGGGTTCTGGGATCAAGCGCCGCATCAGGCTCCCTGCTAGGCGGGGAGTCTGCTTCCCTTCCTCTCTCTCTCTCTGCGTGCCTCTCTGCCTGCTTGCCTA